TAAGATTATATTTAATCCACAATTATAAGGTGACACATATAGCCCAAGTGGGAGATTGTGAGGAATTTTTAGATCGATCATGTGGGCTTATATGTGTGAATAATTGTGTATTAAATTAAAAGCTATCGAAGTGATCTAATAATGCTTCGATTTTTGGGCTTTAATATATCCAATTAAAGTTAGGGTTCTATATGTATAGAGACTGGGCCCAAGTCCTAATTTTATGATGGGCTAAATTAGGTCAAGTCTCCGAATCATACGTATCTTTTGCTCATTCTATTCTGTCTCCCATCGCAAGAGAGAATTACGGGCTGCGTTTATATTTGGAAGACTATACCGCAGAGTTCAATTATTGCAAATAACCATACCCGATTCAGGTACGCTTCCACTATAATTTATGTATTTCTTTGATGATTTAATATGAAAGATCAGGTGATTTAAAGTAATAAACTATCTTACAATTACCTAAAATAAAAGTTTACAAAGAAGATGGAAGATAATCTTGAATTCTAGAATCTATTCGATGGTCCTTGATTTATCGTTTTGAATCTCTTTTTCTTCGTCAAACTTGAATCAAGTGCAGAACTAATGTATATGATTATGTGTCTTATGTATCAAAAGTTTCTTTTCCCCTAGATGATAGATGGGAATTTGTATTTATAATTTAGAATTAGGTCAAAACTCGTTTTCCATTTACACTCCTTGTACAAATTGAAATAATTTGAGAAACATAATAAGACGTCGACATGGTGTTATTTCTTGCGGTAACATGATTTTCCCTTTTTTTTTTCCCTTTTAATGGCACCAGTTGCTCCTTTGCGATCGAGGTTACATACCTTGCTATCGTAAGTTTTAAATTTTTTCTTTATCTTCATCATGGTCTTTAAATTTCTTGTTTTGTCTATCTCGAGTTTCTTCCTATTTGCATCTTTGGTTCTTTATCCTTCAATTCTTTATACTTTGATCCTCATCCTCCATAATCATCCGAAATTGATCCATCTCAAGTTTCGAATGTTTATAATAAGTCCTGAACTTTTCAAATGTTGAATTTAGCTCCTAAAACTTGTGAATCCCCTTCGATTACTCTCTTGATTCTTTATATCAATCTCGTGCAATCCGAATAACTTTTAATTGATTCGAACAAATTTCAAATTAACTTAATATTGTCTTTCTTTGCATCAATTGTATTCAAGACGGGACTTTCATACAATTAATATAGGGAAAATTGCAGTCGAGGTACCAAACCTTTCGTTTATTAGCAGACTTTACCCAAACCTTTAGTTTGTGCCACCCACAGTTCCAAACCTTTCAAAAATATGCATCGGGAGTCCAAATGGATGGAAACCGTCCATTTGACCGTTAATTGACCAAGAAAAGTAAATATTGACCTATTTTGACTAAATTGGAAAGGATAAAAAGGTAACTTGATAATTACCATATTAAATAAATTGAAAAAAATCAAGAAAAAATCAAAAAATAAAAAATTTAAGAAAAAAAAAGAAGAGAAAATAAAAAAAAATTAAAAACCAAATGAAAACCGGTCATCATCCTCACACCACCCCACCCCACCCCACCCCACCCCGAAATCAAACCAATAGGCAACAGAAACGAGTCTACCACCGGCACACCATCCCCATAGCAAAGCAGCTCGTCTTCTCCGACGTTACATCCATCGGAAATTGCCACAACCGCCGCCACAGCACTCCAGCTCACCACTGTCACCTTCCATCCGCAGCAGCGAAAATCAAACAAATAAAACTCATCCCTACGGTACATTGGAAAATCAAATCCAAAAATCAAATCCCACCGAACCCAAATGAAAACCAGAAATCAAATTGCCCAGTCACCAACACACCGTCGCACCTGCAAATCACCCACCATCATTGTCGCCATAACATCTACTCCAAATAACATAAACCCAAATCTAGAAATGACCACCTATACCAACATTTCTTTCCTAAACACTGTCTCCATTATCGGTCAAGAACTGAGTTTGAACTCTTTTTTTGGATATGGTAACTGAGTTTGAACTCAGTTCACAAAAGCTTGACTCTATTGCATAAAAAGCTTGACTTCCGTGTTTGACGATTTTAGATTTAAGTTTGGGATTGGATGAAGTTTTGATAGCTATTTCAAAATTTACTTCTCAATTGGGGTTGGGTGTCTCCAGATTTGATAGCTAGTTTTTTCGACGACGGTGTGGGTGGGCTGGGTGAATTGGTGATGGTGGCCTGGGGTATTCTAGTTTTGGGTTTTGAGTAAGGGGGCGGGGGGCGGGGTGGGGTGAAGATGAAGATGAAGATGAAGATGAAGATGAACAGTATTCCCTTTCTTTTCTTTGATTTTTATTTATTTTGTTTTTGCTTTTCTATTGTTATTATTAATTATTTTAATTATTAATATTAAGAAAAAATGAAAAGCACCACTTTGCCCTTTTAATTTGGTTCAAATTGATCAAATTTTGACTTTTCTAGTCAATTAGCGGTCAAACGGACGGTTTCCATCCATTTGAACCTCCGGTGCATAGTTTTGAAATGTTTGGGATTGTGAGTGGCACAAACTAAAGGTTTGAGCAAATTTTGCTAATAAACAAAAGGTCTGATACCTCGACTGCAATTTTCCCATTAATATAATTATGCTAAATTAATTAGATATATGCTCAATTAGCAATAATTTGTCAAGTATATAAGTACAAATAAGTATATAATACTTATCGTTTTCCGTATTAAATTAATTCATATAACTTATCCTTTTTAGTCAATTATTCAAATTATAACAAAATTTTACATCGATCATAAATTTAATTCATTTCAATAAAGTCATTACTTCTATACGTATTAGTTTGACCATCGCGACAAAGCTAAAGTGATAATCTACTTGCCACGGCAAAAACCATATACTTAGAAATAATTTCACTAAAATAATTTTTTAATTTTTTACATTCACAACCTTCATTTTACGGAGGAAGGAGTTTTTCATTTAGGTTTATCACCTTTTCCTTTTCTAATAATCATTTCTCTTACTTGGTTGACAGGCAATTCTTGATTTTATTCGCGCAATTATTTTTGAGGACCTTTATTGTATGCCACGTCGTTGGTTTCACCGGTATATTTCTTTATTGCACTTGATTATATTATTTTTTTATTATTAATAAAAGCAAGGATGCACAAAAGATGAAAGTGCTAAGAGTAGTTCTTGGCAAAAAAAAATAAAAAAATCAACCAAATCGAGTTAGGTCAGTTTGAACAAAAAAATCGATCTGACTCGATTAGCTTTAACCAGTAAAAAATCGGGTTGAATTGATTGCGATTTAAACAACCAACCTATCAATTAATCTATCCAACCCACAAATATATTTTTTTAATTTTAAAATTTTTATTTGAAACTTAAAAAATATAATAATAAAAACATAAATATAATTATTTCTCGAATAATTTGTTTACCATCTACGCTTTTTCTTCAAAAACTCCAAATTGCAAAGGAAAGATAAAGCTAGGAGAATTTTTATTTTATTTTATTATTATTATTATTTTTTATGTAAACTCCAAATTTAGATTGTAGTCTTACTTTTCGTTTTGATGTGATTTGAAATTAAGTGCATTTTATGCGCTTGTTCGAGCTTATACTCTTATTTAATTATATATAAATTGAATGATTATCTATTTAATTTGTGTAAATTATGTAAATTGTAAGACAATCCCAACTTGGACACAATTTATATAAAAAGAGGCTATTTGGAGCTTAATTGGAGTTAATTTGAAGCAATTGAAAATTAATCAAATTGCAATAAATCAATTGAAAATATTAATGGAGCAATATGGTAAAAATCCAAGAGTTTTGGGAGTTAAATTCGACCTTTTAAAAGTTTGAGGACTGATTGCCAACTTCGAAACTTGTCTTGAGTCAACTATTATGCTTTTGGAATGAAGAGGACTTTATTGCAAAATAAAAGATAGAGGAATTAAGTTACATGAGAAAATCAGTTCAATTGAAAAAAGAATTTGTTTTCTTTTATTTCTTGAACTCTTGGGGTATAAACTGATTTGAACTCTTTAGTAAAAACCAATTTAAACTCTTTGGTGAAAATCAAGTTGAACTAGAATTTTGCATGAATCTTTTCTATAAATACATACTTTAATCCAACAATTAAATGGGGCTTGTGGAGTTGCATTATACACGTATATTAAACTCAAGACTTCGGGATTCATTATATATATATATATATTATTCAAGCTAAAAGGAGGTAAGAAATTAGAAGAAATCAATCAAGAAGATAGGGTTTCAAGGATTTTCACAAGAAGAGATGGATTCTTGGTACAAAATCTTCATATTTTTCCTTAATACCCGACAACGTACTTTAATTTCTTCTTGTATTTTTATTTTCCCATGATGTGTAATTAAGTATTTAGTTAAAATGAATTATCGTAACCTAGTTTTAAACCTTAATTTTAATTAAAAAGTTTCATTGATTTTCTGAATAGTTTTTCTTCTATTTTTAATGCTTAGATTAATTGGCTACTAATTTATTGATTTCTTGAACAATAATTACTTAGAGATGCTGATTATTTGTTTAGACCACATAGTAAAATTCAGTGATTAGTATAAAACTTACAGATACTTATACTAATTATTGTGATCGTTACATGAAGTTTTAGAACATAAGTACGTTTAACTAAGATTGATTCTCTTGAAATTGAATTAGTTAAATAAGTTCAATGAGAACTCGATGAGGGTAAATTGAATATATTAGAAGAATTCGATCGGATAAACATAATCAATTGTATAAAACTTGGTAATTGAGACTAAGGGGATAATTATGGTAAAATCATGAATTCTAACACTTAAACCATCATTAAAAAATCAGCTTTTTACTTGTTTTAGTATAATTAAAAGAGATAATCACAAAAGAAAAAACAAATATCTACTTTATTCGTTTTCAATCAAATTCAAATTAAGAATAAATGAACCAATTGTCATTGTTAAATAGCAGTACTCGTGAGAATAATATCCGAACTTTTAGGTCCACTTTATTACCAATAACGATCCATATACTTGCAGAATATAAAATTGACAACAGTTCGATTTGGTTTCAACAACTGAATTGGGTCGATTTAATTTAGAACTTACCCGTATCGAATTTTATCACATCCTTCTTCACTAAAGTCACGCAAAGAGGAGTCGTGTGCGTTTTATTCAATTCAAATAGACAATTCACTTCAGAATTAGAAGTAACCTTCATAGGTGGAATCGAAAAGGATGAATGCTCCTTGAATTGAAATCTTAGTTCCATCTTATGCTTAGAGACATCGACATTCAGCTTGCTTTCTAAATTATGGTACATTTCCACGTATGATGTATTACTTGCTATGGAAATCGGAATACCACCACGTACATTATTCGTCCATTTTTATATCCATCGATCATTTTCATCCAATTTAAAATCACCAAAATAACAAACTGGGATTACAACCATATCTGCACGACGAAACAAAAAGTTAAAATTGGGCTCAACCACAGTGATAACATAAATTTATTAAAAAAAAAAATTGACAACCGACTGGGTAACTGTCGACTGATAGCTTTTACAGCCGATCGGAAAGAATTTATACATACAAATGAATTTTTTTTCTTGTTCACGTTTAAAAAAAAATTATAAATCTGTTAAAAAAATTTATCTATATGTTAATTTATGTGAAAATATGATTTATCGATTAAAAATGTATATTAATTTAACGAAAACGAAATTAGACATACGTAAATATACTTACTGATTCGAAGTGATTGATATAAAAAAAATATTTTCTTACCCAGCATAAGACAAAAAAAACCATCGTCATATTCACTGATAATGATTCAACTTACATTAATGGCAAACAAAGTTCATTCATATACAGTAATTTACTAAGTCCATATAAGATAAGCTAATTCAAGTAAAAGAGAAATCCAGGCACCAGATCCTATACTTATACGTCCCATCTACATATTCCCGTATCCATGAAAAATTTATACTGGAAATGGACCGTTAGATCTAGAAAAGGAATTACGCTTGAACAAAAGATTAAATTAACGGTTGAAGCCTTCGCATAAAAAAATAAAAAATAAAAAAATAACGTAGAAATAGGAACATGGGAATCTAGAAATAGGAAAAATAAAATAAAAAATAACGTAGCCGTGAGGCTAAAAAAGCAAGACTACCATCACCCCCAAGAGACAAGCAAAGAAAGAAGATAGTAGCACTTCTGCGTCGATCCATCCATCTGTATCAACATTGTTTTCTTTAAAGCATTTATACTCGCAAAGATAATTTAGATGTGAGTTATCTATAATAAAAGTAAATAAACAATAGAGCTTCAAATAAAGCTATAGATAAATGAAGAGAATCTTGGGCATATATCTAAGTCTTAATAATTGAAATCAGATTCAAAACGAATAAAAGTAACCATGGAATTTCATTTTTCAGGTAATCATAATCCAAAATGAAGAAAACCCGACATCACATAAAATATCTTAAATCTCCTTCTTCTCTTTGGGAATGAAACAAACTTGAAAGCTATCAAAATCAGAGTTTGACATCTTCCAAGCTTCAAGTAATCATGGTACATTGCAAAATTATAACATCAGAATCTAAAGAAAAGCACTGATTTGGTAAAATTACTTTATCTTTTTTACTTTAATTCCTCAATTCGCATCAAGATGTAGTTTCATCAGCAATCCACAAATAACATGCACACCAAAAAACCAAAATCTGTATGTGTTTGGATTGAAAAAAGAGTACCTGTTGGCATTTACGAAAATTTTCCTCTCCTCTCTCACAATAAGCGCCTCCTCTACTTGTTCGGTCCCTTTGGTACAGGCTTCTTGCATAAACAACGATCGCTATTTATCTTTGGATGCCATTGATTCGATCAGAATTAGCCTCTCATTAAATTAAATTTCATTTTTCTCTATCTTATTTTTATTCTAGCAATTTTTTATAAAATAATATTACAAACTTGTCCTTCTTCTTTAATCACTCATTTAAAAAAAATACTGTTCTACACATTTTAATTTAGAAAAATGAGGACCAAACAGGGCTTAATTTTTTCAATCACATCAGGTGGGGCCCACGTTAGCATGTGAATGAATGGATTTATATCCCTATTTGTCAAATTTCTTGACAAAATGGGCTTGAGTATTATGCGGTAAAATAGGTAATGGAGAAAGTAAGAGCATGTTTGGGAGTGATTTTAAGAATTAATTTTTTTATCGTTAGAAGAAAAGTGAGGTCCACTTATGAGAGAAAAAGTCAAATATGATGGTTAGAATAGTAAAATAACGGTCAAAAAATCAATTTTTTTGATGAAAAAATGGGGTCCAAAAGGCCCTAAAAGATTACAAAAGTACTACATTTTGTCATTCATGTGTCAGGCGAGAAATATTGAATGCTCAAATTACTGTAGAAAAGTCCATAAAATTCTAAAAGTAAGGTTAAAACGGACATCAGACGGGCTTAAAAGCTTTTTCTCTCGATAGAATTTATTTTATCTCTAACAATTAAAAAAGTTAATTAATAAAATTACTACCAAACAAGCACACACAATGTGTGTCTGGAAACGCTCGCCCCAAATTTTTGAGCAATTTTTGTATCGTTGCCAAAGTGACGTGAGTCTCCATGTGAGTAAGGAAGTGCCCCCAGGGCACATCTAAGTTGGCGGAACAATCACATTGAAGGGCTCTGAAACCAAGCGTGGGGAGTTGATTCCTGGTGGGAACCTTTGATCCAATAGAGGAGAAATTATTGGTGGATTAATTATCATGGAGGAGGCTTCCTGTGGGGAAGCCTCCAAAGTTATGTGGGAATCTGAGAACCAATAAGGGCATATCCTGTAATTTACCTCCCTGAGCAGCTGAGGGGTCGGAGGTTCAGGGACGAGAATATATAGTCTGGCGCAAGCTAGGACAACTCGTTAAAAAAAAAAAAAAAAAAAAAGGTCAACAAAGATGACTGTAATGATGAGCTACGATCAGAAAAGTGGAAAAAAGCACGTAAAAAATCAAAAAAGACAGGGACAAAGGCTATTGGTGGGGCCCTGTGCGTTCGTTTCTTGAATAATGCTAGCTGTTTACAATTTAAAATTTGAATATGCAGTAAAATCGAGGTTGCTGATTGACTTTTTTATTTATTTTTTTATTTTTTTCAAGTGTTGAAGAAATCAATGTCACATGCTACAATATAAAACAAAGCTTTCGTTTAGCTCTCATTCTTGTCAAATTTTAATAGTGAAAATAATATTTTTTAAATAATGTATAGTTGAAAAAAAATGAAAATTTTTTAATTTGCATGTAATATTATTTTATGAAAGATTGTATGATTGAAAATAAGAGAAAGAAAAAAAATGAAAATGAGAATTAAAATGGGGGTCAAACAGGGGCAATGTCAACTCGAATGATTTTTTCTTTTTTTTTTTTCTTTTTCAGGGCCTCTCTTTTCTTTCTAAAAGTTAAACTAAACTACTAAATTAATAATTATTAATAAAACAATTTTATACGTGAATTCATAATTTTTTTTATTTTTTTTTATTTTTAACTATGCTCTTCAAAAGACCACTTTCCATAAAAATTTAATTTGCAATAAATTTACATGAATCCAGCACAAAATATACAGATTTGTTAATATTTTTAAATAATTGAATGAGCTAAAATGTTTATTTTTCTTATGACCATTTTCTTGAATATCTAAATGCCTGGTCTCTTTGTTGTTTTCAGGTCATTTTCAGTTTTTAATTTTCGAAAAACACTGAAAGCACATTTACTTACCTATTTTCAAAAAAGAATTTTTTTCTTTTCTTTTTCTTAGAAATAAAAGAACTATATATATAAAATAATCAGTTTTTAAAATTAAATGTGAGTTATCCAAAAAAAATAAATTACTTTAAAGATGTAAAGAATTTCGCAAGGAACAGAAACATTAAAAAAAAGCAGAATTATTAATTATGAGAAGGTCAATGGGACCGTATGTAATCATATATACCCAGGTGGGGGTGTAAGCGATTCAATTTTACTGATTTTTGACAATTTTTCAAATCAAACCATTTAAACCGGTTTAAGAAAAATCCAAACCTAAATTATACCATTTTGAATGGCTAGAAAAAAAAAAATCAAACCTAAACGTAACGGGTTACTCCAATTTTAAACTGTTAGTTTCGCCATATATTTTTTTGTCTATCTACTTTTGTGTCATTAATTCATTGAATTCAATATATATTTATAACTTACTAGCAATAAATTTAAAACAAACTAAAGCTTTGTTTTAACCAAACTTTTTGGGACAAAAAAACATTATTACCAAAGGTCTAAGATCTTTGTCTCCGATTTGGTATAATTGACTTCAATTCAATTTTGAAGATGTGTGAAAAATTTGAAAAAGAAGTGTATAGTGCCAGTGGCTCAAGACTTCATTAGGTGTTGACTGGAGTTCATCTAAATTCTGAAGAAGAAAAATGCTTTTGATAGATTATGTTAGTTTTGAGATTATTATATATAAATTAGGATTATTGTATAATAATAACAATATTATATCTATATTAGAAAATTAGAAATTGACAAAAATACCCACAAATAACAAAACTATTGAATTTTATATATTTGGAAGAATTTTCAAAATTTTTCATTTTTTCATTTTTGTATATTTTTTCTCCGATCCGGTTTAGTTTTAAACCGCAATTAAAATTTTTAAACCTAAACCAAACCATTTTGACCGGTTTGGTTTGGTTCAAAACCATTTCGTTGACCAAGTCCACTTGGCGCCAAACCGACGATTTCTAAAATGCGATTTTGATTTGATTTTCCGATTTGGTGATTTTTGCTTACAGCCCGATACCTAGGCAATAAAGAAATCTTTGATCCATAAATCCATTGGTTCATGTCTTATTGGTTTTAATAGAAAAACGAAATAATGATAATTTCGCAGATTAATTATCTCTCTATTACTTGATTTATAAATCAATCAAAAAAAAAAAAAGATTTGAAAACGATAAATAGAAAACGGTAATTTTTAAAGGAAAATCAATAATTCTTCAACTTGGCTCTGATATCACATGTAAACATTTAATCCTAGTGCCAAGATTATAGAATTTTACGATTTTCACTAGTAAATTTAATTGAACAAGAAAACATACATTGATCCATGACAATTAATTGAAGATTTAGACCTTCAAAAATAATAAAAACAAGAAAAATAAGAAACCGTTTTCTCTCTTTTCTTCTCTGTAATTGAATGTTTAATTTGATGAGTTCCGGTCACGTATATAGGCAGATAGAGGTAGTTTCTTATGAGCCATAAAAACTACTCACTTTTTTTTTTTTTTTTTTTTTTTTTTTTTTTATCAAAGTGAACAGTTATAAAACTACACTTCTCAATGGGCTAATAGAATTTTAACAGCAATAAATCGCTTTAATTAATTTATTAATGATATTACTTGGGCCACATTTGTTGATCTTACATGTATTCCTTTCTGTTTATTATTCGCTATTAACACTGAAATGTAGATTTGTATGAAATGGACCATACATTTCTCGAAACTTTTATATTGTACAATTGTTAAAGTTTTTAGAATATTCAGCATGTTTGAGCCCATTATAATTCAAAAATGTATTTTTAAATAATAGAATGATAAAGAATATGTGATTAAAAAATAATAAAATTTTTTAATTTACGTGAAATATTGTTTTATTGAAAAATATGTGATTAAAAAGAAAAGAGTAAAAAATGCATTTTGAAAATAATGAGGATCAAACAAATGCATAATATAAAAATAAATTGGAATTATAAATTCAAATCTTAATTTAATGAAATTTCGAACGTATTAGATTTTGATGAAGATAAATAAACTCCACCTACATATGAAGAAATATGTCGAAGATGATATTCAAATTAAAATTGTGCTATATTTATATCACAACGCATTAATTAAGTTTACCGACAGTTGATGCGACAAGATTTGATTGAATCAAAATCTCACTAACCAAATTAAAAAAAAAAAAAATCCTCTTTCTTTTTGCCATTAACCTACATGACATAAGCAAAACAGTTGAAGTAGTGAAGATATTTTGACAATTTTAATTCATTTTATTGGTATCTCATCAATTTGCAAAAGAATTTGTCAATGGTGATATAGAACAAGCATTTTTCTTTAAACTATAGACATGTGATTGCCTTTAATAATTTAAATTTTTGACGTAGCGAAAACTTATTGATTTGAAATATCAAATAACAAGAAAGAGAGAATAATTTTGAAAACTTCTCAAGAATCTTTATTAAATTCAAATTCAACTAAATGTCATAAGAGTTTATAAGTCGTATTTTAAGGCATTAAATAAAATATAGATAATAATAATTAAACATCTAGATAATGACAGTTTCTAGATAATGATAAAAATAAAGAAATTGTGAAAAACGTTGAATAATGGGGTTGTTATGTATGTCTTTTTGCTGTTGGATTGATTCTCTTATCCATGATACATTATAAATGTATATTGATTTCCTTCAAAAAATTACTTCCAAAACTTATGACTTATACACAACACTTAGTGTTGAATTAATTTTGATAAAAACATAGGATTCTATTATTAAGTATTAATTTTTTAGTGCAAAATAAACTTATATGTATATAAACATTTATGCTCATCATGGAAAATTAAAAATACATATATCGTTTAGGTTGGAACTTACCCAAACATTGACATTCGCTCAATTTGAATCTTCACTTTCAACGATATCCTTCTTCACTAATGTCACGCAAAGAGGAGTACTGTCCTTCTCGTTCAATTCAAATAGATGACTTACTTTAGTATCTGAGGTAACCTTCAAAGGTGGAATTGAAATGGATG